TTTAATCTATTTATTAATGCATTAGGTAATTTGTTAGGTATGGAAAAATAGCCAAGTTCAAACTCATAATAATTTTCAAAACCTATCAAAATAACCAATTTACCCCTCAAAGTCAATTTTTTATTATTTTTTCAATTAAATTCCCATTTTAACCAGATTTTATGTAAATACTTTACACATTTACATAAACTCGATTTTTAAATTACCCAAATTTACKTAAAGATTCTTACACAAATGGGTTATGCATTTGCACAAAAATTCTCTTTGTTAATCTGAAAATAGGTTTAGACAAATGTGTAAGACATTTACTTAGGGGCCGTTTACCAAATACTTACTCGGTAAGTGCTTACCGGTAAAATTCAACACTATTATTTACTTACCAAGTAAGATTTTAGTCCACCAGAATGACGTCGTATGCAACAATTTATCCGGTAAGTGCTTACCGTGGTAAGAGTCGTCGCCCTCACTTACCGGGTAAGACTCATAATCCTTGTCTCGCTCTTACCGGGTAAGATTCTTGGTCCTTACCATATTTATTCGGTGAGATAACATGATTTGGTAAATGCTTACCCGGATAAATGTTTGGTAAACGGCCCCTTACACTCTAGTTAAAATGGGAATTCGGTTCAAAAAATAACTAAAAAATGAATTTGGTTGAAAAGATTGGTTATTTCGGTCAATTTCCCTATTTTTCACATCATAATAACATAACAAACATTTAAACAAACAAAATCACTATAATGTATAATCTCCATCTTAATTATAATACAAATTAGCATGCAATCCATTGTTTCTGTTTGCCTACTTAATTTGATGTAAATAATTGCGTATCGTTAACCATATGATATCTAACACATTACAACAAAATCGGGTTTATAGAACACTTCCAAATTCTAAACGTTCTAATAGACCTCTTTATAGGACTTTGTTTATATGACAAAAAAAATAAAGTGTCATATCTAAAGGTGTTGTATTAAGTTTATATGACGTTATTTGATGTCGTAATAAGTTTTTAAGACATTTTTAATATAAAACGTCACATTATCAACTTTATAAGACACTATTTGAAAAACTGTCCTATAAAAACAAGTGTCCTATAAAAAATTGAGTTTATAGGACAATTTCTCAAAAGTGTCCTATAAAGTTGCTAATGCGACACTTTGTATTAAAAATGTTCTAAAAAACTTGTAAAGACGCCCAAGAGCGTCATATAAACTTATTACAATACCTTTAGATATGACGCTTTATATTTTGGTCATATAAATTAAGTCTTGTAGCGGTCTATTGGAGGTGTCCTATAAAACCAATTTTGTTATTTGTACTTTAGTAGAAATGAATACGATAATGTTTATTATGATCTTGAGTTTCAAATTCCGTTTAAAAAAGAACTAAACATTTTGGACCCGTTCAATGCAAAATAAACATTCGTTATTTCATTAAAATAAATCTAGAATATGAATTCGTTAAAAATGAATTGAATCGATCATTACCCACGTTAGACTTTCGTCTTTACGAAATTAAGACTTAAATAACGTAGTTGAATGCATCTTATATACAGTGAGATATCCGATGATTTTATCGTTTTTAATACTCWTTCCACTTGGTTGTTTTTTATCGACAACAATATGTCATATGCTAGTTTTTTATGGTCCTGTTTCCGCTATAAAAACATTGCCAAGTTACATACTTTTATCACATAGATTGCCATTCAGAAAAACAAGTTTCCACTTCTCAACAATGGCATCTCGATTGCTTTTAGTTGGTCTCTTCTTCGTGGCAAGTTGTTCGCTTGCTTTGGCTTCAGACCCGAGTCCTCTTCAAGACTTCTGTGTTGCTGATCCAAATAGCCCAGGTAACAATAACTGTGAAATGTTCGAGAAATGCTCCAACACTAAAAACTTGAAAATAGTT